ATAAAAGAACCACACGTTCATCGAACCGTTCGGCGGGAAGTTTGTTTATGTTCATTTATTTATTAAACAAACGAAGATAAACAATATTTTTTGTTCATTTAATTAAATGAACGAACATAAATAAAGGGTTTGTTTGCTCATTTGCGTTAATGAACGTTCAATAATCCGTTTGTTTATGTTTGTTCATTTATGGTCGTTTATGTTCATTCATTTATATTCGTTCATTTATATTCAGCCCATCTCTAGAATCATTTGAAATATTAAAGCCTAATAAATTTTAACCTTAAACTCATTAATATTTTAAAACCCACTTAATTTTAAACTCAAATAAAACACTCAAATCAATTAAAGAAAATATAAACCCAATTAGTTTTATGTTCATTCGTTTATGTTTGTTTACGTTCTTTTATGTTAGTTTATGTTCGTTTACATTCATTCATTTGTGTTCGTTTATTATGTTAACAAATGAATATGAACGAATACGAACAAACTAAATTTCTTAATGAATGAAGACGAACAAGAAATTGCGTTCGTTTAATTGTTTGTGTTCATTTGTTTGTTATGTTAAAGTTAAACGAACGAACATGAACATACCCTCGTTCGTGTTCGTTCGATTCGTTTACATGCTTATGTCACACTACTAACTCCATTAACTCAATAGTCAAACTTACGAGGACTAAAAAAAGGAAACATAATATTATATATAATTTTTAAAAAATAATTAGTTGACAAAAATACAAACACAAAAATAAGTTGAGGATCAAACGAGTAGTTTATAAAAAAAATCTAGATTCACATGGGTGAAAGTGAAGAAACAGCAGCCATGAACCCAATCTATGATAATTTTAGATTTTAAGGGGACGACCGTCGTGCTTACGTCTATCCCTATATATATTATTTTTTAATAATTTAGGATAAGTATAAAATAATATATATTCGAAGATAACTCTCAACCTTTCAGCATTGAACGTTCATATTCTTGGTATCTATGGTGCTTGAACTCGAATCTTTAAAAATAACATCAATTCCTCTATAACCAATTTTTTTTAATGAATATTCAACGTTCAAACGAAGAACTTTATGAATATTCAATATACGTGGTCAAAAGGGCTTTTACAATGTATTCAATATTCACAAAGTTGATAAAATATAGTTGACCTTATTTTTTATTCTTAAAACAATTCCACTCCGATCTCTCTAACAATGGAATTGTAAAAGCCTAAAAAGAAGTGGACTAATCGTGGTTTTAGTCCTTATACCTATATCAAAATTTAAGATTTAACACATCTACTTTAATTTGACATAAGTTAATTCGTCTAATTTTTATAATATTATTGATAAGTTCAAATTAATAACACTGTTAGTTATTTTCATTACATAGTTTTCAATGTTATTTACTAGTATAGTATTATGTAAATTTTCAATTAATGCTATCTCATATGTTATTCCATGAGATCTTTACAACAATATCTCATATGTTCAAAACGATTGAGTGATGAATGAGAAATTAATGCTCAAAGTAAGGACGTACATATGAATTTGTGTTATGTAAGAAAAATGAAAAAAAAAACTCATATCCCACATTAGTGGGATAAAGAGCATGAGAATTGTTTATATACATTAACCCTCTTACTAGTTATTAAATGATTTGGGTTAAGATTGTGTTTAACACGCAAATGGGCGGGTCGGGTGCGGATACCCCCTCCCCCATCCCCATACCCACCTAATATTTTTCAATCCACCACCTGCCCACCACCCATGATAGGTACAAATTTTTAAATCCACACCCGCCCACGCGGGTACATTCTCAAATCCATCCCCACACCCACTACCCATTAGTGACGTACCCGTCTAGACCCGCCTGAAAGCAAACTTAAGTTATATATAAGCAAAAAACATAAAAAAACATGTCTACTAAGAAACATAATAAAATAATCCAAGGATTATCTAAGTTAAGTGTTAATATAGATCTTAAAGTACATAAAACCCCATAATAAAAGACATAATTAAAGTTTAGAAACATAAATGACAAACACATAATGTTTTTGTTCTTTGGCACAACATTCTAAAATTTCAGGCAATACTTGTGACATCTGATACTCCAGTATTACAATCATCAATCTTTATTTCCTCCAATTGATAGCGCTCCAATTTAAATTCACTACTACTTACATATATAATAGAAAGTGGGCGGGCGGGCAGATATTTAACTGGGCGGGAGGATGTGGGGCGGGAGGATGTGGGGGCAGGCGGATGCGGGGCGGATGGATGCGGGGCGGGTAATGTCTCAAACCCATTACCCGCCCACTACATGCGACGAGTATCACTTTCTAAATCCACACCCGCCCACTACCCGCTAAAATTATACCCATCTCCGCCCCAATTGGAGCGGATGCGATGCGGAATCCATGAAACTGTACCCGTTTTCCATCCCTACGTAAGTACGAGGTATAAATCCAAGCTTTTCAAACTCATCAGGGTTGGGGGCACACTTACATGACGTAGGCGACATGAATGCCCTGATCGATCAAATCACAAACAAATATATTTAGATTAAATATACAGTATTAATTGATTACAACTGAAATTTATTTGAATACTCATAATATATATATTATTTCCAATTCTTCTGTGAAACTCTATAAATATCGTGTAAACCTACTATGTCATAACTGAAAAATTCTTTTATTATTCTCTAATTTCGGTGATAACCTCAAGTAAGATATAGTATGTGATCTCTGTAGTTGTGCTACAGTATGTTGATCATCTCGTTCTTGTATCTTGGGGGACAGACGACCAAAGATCTCCAGCACCAAAGAGTGATCGAAAATCTGTCTCGAGAAAATTGTGTAGCTACATGGCTCAACTACTTTTCATAACGTTATTATGTCAACATTTGGGATTTTTTATTCTAAGTTGTACTTTTTCCTTTTTAATAAAATATAATTTTTCTTTTTCGTTTCAGATTGTTATACTTGTAACAATTACATCTATGGATTTCTTGTTTGTATCAAGGTTATTGAAAGGCGTTTCGTTTTTGGATCGTACAAAGGATGAAAACTTTTATATATGATGGTTAATAATATATGAACACTTTTTTCCTAACATTATCATTATTGAGCTTCAGTTTAATCATAGTGTCATGCCCTTAGAACCTTCAAGCCCAAATTTTCGTAATATCAGAGATAAGGTCAGACGGGACGTGCAACCTTAGACGCTTCTTGACACTCCTGGGTCTTCTCTACAACTAAGTAAGCCTGACCCAAGCCTACTAAGCATGCAACCTCACCAAGGTTGGAACCAAGCCCTCAAGGCTTCTAGGATGCGGAAGCTTTAACACCAAGGTGGCTACTCCAAGCCACCAAGTGGACTATAGCATGGAAGTGAAAACACAAGTGTGGCTACTCCTGACCACCAAGAGAGACAATAAGCGCCAAGAGAATAAAAAACAAAGAACACATGAACTATAGTAAATGCCTCAAAGTTTTATTACTCTCCCCCAATAGAATGGAGGAATGAATGAATGAATGGCCTAGATCGATTTACATCAATAGCTAAGATCTACCTAATTAATACAAGATCCCCTAAATCAAGGAAACCCAACCCAACCCTATCTAATTACATCTATTAGTAGGATTCTTTCCTTGGATAGGTGTTCGCACTAAATATGGTAATATTCCCCCACAATATCTTCCTCATTTGTTGTCTCTTGCCATAATTACCGAGCTCCTATGATTATCTTCGGATATGATGCCATTTTCATTTTTTGCATAGCCAATGTGAATGGGATTCACAACATTCTCCAAGTGATGGGCCAATTCTGGTGGCCTTGACAAGCCCACATTTTGTATAAAACCTCTTTAGCAGACACTTGCCCAATGTCCCAGACCCAAGTATCACGTCCATTGACAATAGCATGAAAGGGTTTTTAATAAGGCTAGCTTTTTTAAAAAAAAAAGTAATCCTCAAAACTTATATTCTCTATTAAATTTGTATAATTTTAAATAATTCAATGAATTATCAATATTTAAAAAACTATTTAAAAATAATTTAATGATGTAATATTGCTTTCATAATTTAATAATAGCTTAATAATCTAATCATAATTTAATTATTATTAAATTATTTTTAAACTAAATTAAAATAAAATTGATAGTTTTTTTTAAATATTTATTAAATTATTTTGAAATATAACTACTTTGATATAATATGTAAGTTTTACATATTAAAATTATTATTATTTTATGTCACACTAGGCATATAAAAGAACCAAACGTTCATCGAACCGTTTGGCGGAAAAATTTGTTTATGTTCATTTATTTATTAAACAAAAGAAGATAAACAATATTTTATATTCGTTTAATTAAATGAACGAACACAAATAAAGAGCTTGTTTGCTCATTTACGTTCATGAATGTTTATGTTCATTTGTTTATGTTCGTTCATTTATATTCAGCTCCATCTCTAGAATCATTTGAAATATTAAAACCTAATAAATTTTAACCTTAAACACATTAATATTTTAAAACCCAATTAATTTTAAACCCAAATAAAATACTCAAATCAATTAAAGAAAATATAAATACAATTAGTTTTATGTTCGTTCGTTTATGTTTGTTTACGTTCTTTTACGTTAATTTATGTTCGTTTACATTCATTCATTTGTGTTCTTTTATCATTTTTAACGAATGAACATGAACGAATATGAACAAGTTAAATTTCTTAATGAACGAACACGAACAATAGATTCCGTTCGTTTAATTGTTCGTGTTCGTTTATTTGTTTGGTTAAAATTAAAAGAACGAATATGAACATACTCTCATTCGTGTTCGTACTATTCGTTTACAAGCTTATGTCATACTATTAACTCCATTAACTCAATAGTCAAACTTACGAGAACTAAAAAAAGGAAACATAATATATATAATTTCAAAAAAATAATTAGTTGACAAAAATACAAACACAAAAATAAGTAGAGGATCAAACGAGTAGTTTATAAAAAATTCTAGATTCACATGGGTGAAAGTGAAGAAACAGCAGCCATGAACTCCTCATCTGATTCAAGACCGTTCATTGAAGACGGCGGAAGGCAGACTTCCAAGTCTATACTTCCCCCACCTTGCCGTCCTGGATACGATGAAACTTTCCCATCGAACTTATGAGCATATCCACTTCGAAGTGTCAACGCTTTCCCCAACCCGAACTCATTTCCATACTTGTTGAACCTTGGTGAGCTTCCCATCATCACGCTTTGTGGGTCAAAAAGCTGAGAAATTTGGTAAATTGAAGGTGAACGAAGCCAATCATTGACGAAACCACGGACTGATTCGTCCGTGTGGTTAACCACAGCTTGGTGCAGTTTCCAAGCAGCCCAGCCGAGATCATGTTCAAGCAGTTCACCCGCTGTGGTCACCGCTCTCACGGTTTGAATCGAGTTCCCAAAGTAATCTGGGGACAGCGGTGGTTCCAGTCTTGACCTATTGTTTATAGCCAATCTGCAACCAATGACCATTTCACTTGAAAAACGACGCGCCCTTGTGATTGCTCTCCAAACAAACGCAGATAACGACTGGAAGGAGGAGATTTTCGTGGTTCTATATTCTGTGTTAGCCCTTTTTTTGAGCTCTGCGATGGACTCTGCCGAGAAGTGGAATATTCTCTCTAACAGCTGTGGTGCTTCAAATGTGCTGATAAATTCATCTTCATGAGCGAAGGGAAGTTTAAGCAATGGTCCATAGCCCTCTGGGAACCATCTCTCAAACACTGGGGGGCGTGAGATTTTCACATTATCATCCTGCGATTGAAATATTTCGGACAATGCGTTGAAGAAATGCCAGAAGGAGGTTCCATCGCCAATAGCATGGTTCATAGAACAACCTATGAACACCCCATCTACAAGCTCAGTGACCTGAATAGATAACAGAGGCCTGGTTTGACCATCATAGTTGATTGCTCGATCATGGTCGAAGAACGACTGAACAACTAATGGAACATAGGTCGGGGAAACAATGTCGGACACCGATATATCAGCAGCTGCGTGGATGAATTTGGCTCCAGGGCTGTTGTTGCAGTCAACAAAGACGGAATAAGAAGGTGGGTTTTCTTCTTTTTTGGCTACGATGCGACCTGCTAAGGGATAGAAATGGCGGAGGGCGATGTCGAGGGATTTCTTCAGCCGCTCCAAGACATCGTTGATCGAGTTTTCTCCACAGTCTTCCGGTGGAGGTTTGGCGAAGAGAAGACCCTTTTGAATGTACTGGACGGAGAGCATGATGAGATCCCATGGTGTCAAATAGAAGGGCTGTTTTGATTCATCGGAAACATTTTGGGGTCTAACAAAACATTCTGAGATTACTCTAACTGTCGATGGATCCATTTTTGGTTACCCCAGAAGATTAGCAGTGTTTAGTTTTGATTCACAGCTTGGGTTTTTTGTGATTGTTTAACTGCTTGCCGGGGACCTGTTCAAATATATCATGAAAAAAATATTACTTTAACAAGTAGGTGGGCGTGCCGTCTAGTTCTCGTGGTTGTTGGGGTTCAAACACCTACCAACCCCACGTTGATGAACTACCCTCCAATTTAATATCAGCAAGTCATTGGTAGAAGAAAGGTGTGACCCGAAATCTTTACACATAATATAATACGTGTATTTTGTATTCATGTTTAAAATATTTTCCATCATTAATAATTTATGAATTATACTAACCACCCGTTAGTATGGCGGGACGAGATTTAGATTTCTTAAATAAGATTAGGAGTTCAAACTTTGGCTTGCGCGAATAGGGTAAATTGGGTTGGGAGGGTCGTCATCACCTCTGCAATACTCGATCTAGATTAATCGATTAATAAATCAGATACAATTGATTAATTCAAAAAAATAATTTATGAATTATAATTACTCAATTGAATTTTGATTTACGAGTTAAAAAAAGATGAATTAGTTTGATTTTATGAAGTGTAAATCAATCTTAAACTAGGATATTGACCGTATAAATTTTGAACTTCACAAGCGGGACTAATCACTCCCAAGTATTTTATTTTAGGTTAAATTACATGTTTAATACCTAAATTATCAGTTTTGATCTGTTTTAGTTTCAAACTTTTACTTTTTTCAAAATTTTATCTAAATTTAATTTTTATTTCATTTTAGTATCATGTTCCAAATTTAACGTTAAATTTGGAAAAAAAAGATGCCTCCAATGCTACTCCTCGATTTTAGTCCTGTTCTTCCATCGCTTTATTCTTTAATTAATATTTGATTAAACAATTAAATTTTAATCTGCCGCTACATAACTTTAATTGTTAGTGGAAAAGTTGTTCGTGGAAAAAACTTATCCTAAACGTATTTATCCACATAATTTAAGCATGCAAAATAATAATTTATCAAATATATGTAAAATTTAAAATTTATATATCTAACGTATATATTCAACAGAACTCTAAATATAATACATATCCAGAAGTCATTAAATTCTGAAAGAATAATAATACTACTGTTTAAAATAATTTAAATGCCGGGAGAATTATTCAAAATTACGTGCTTTTTGGTTTGTTATTCGACAGCTTTGTTCTGGTCTTAATTATCATCATCTCAATTTCTTACCTACCAATTTTCCTGCTAAACCGATGTGGTCAAAATTACGTGATATACATATTATATATATAAAATGATAACGTAACACATATTATGTATAAAAAAATAATAATATGATATATGTCACGTATAAAAATAATATCACAATTCATGTTATGTGTCTAAAATAATAATTGTTCGCCATGTATTAGGTTATTACTGACCAAACTCACGAGATAATGTGCTGGGAAATTTTATTTCACGAGATAATACTACATTCCCATGTAGGTCGCCAAGTGCTTCGGGCGACGTAGGTGAGATGGTGTAGGTCGCCATGCCGTCCACGAGTTGTGTTGAGTTCAAGGTCGCCATGCACGCCCAGCATGGCCATAGGTCGCCATGTGAGCCGAAGTTGGTCGCCTTGCAATTCCAGGTCGCATGGGTTTTCCAAAAGGAGTTGCATACGTGTTCTTCTCCATGCTTTGACCATGGTGGATTATCTGCTAATCGATCCTTAATTAATGTTAATTTAGTGCTTTTGTCGTGTGAGTTGTTCATTTACTTCAAAATTACTATTAATTTTAGAGACGTGATCCAATGTAATTGCATTATTTGCATTTGTTGATATTATTATATATGTGTGCATGTACCATGCATGCAATTTTAATGGCTATTATTTATAATAATTATTAGAGCTAGTACGGGCGTGCATGGCGGCCTGGAATTACAAGGTGACCTACTTCGGCTCACGTGACGACCTATGGTCATGCTGGGCGTGCATGGCGACCTTGACCTCAACACAGCTCGTGGACGGCATGGCGACCTACACCATCTCACCTATTTCGTCCGGAGCACTTGGCGACCTACATGGGGACTGTAGCATTCGTCCTATCTGAGTAATTAATCTGACGAAAGTATTATTTCGTGAAATAAAATTTCCCAACACATTATCTCGTGAGTTTTGCCGGTTATTACTTTGTACACTTATCAAGGGATTATCAATTTAAAAAAATAGTAATATTATTGTTTAAAATAATTTAAATGTCAGAGAGAAATATTCAAAAGTACTACAGCTGTTTTGGTTTATTATTCAAAAGTTTTGTCGTGGTCTTATCATCTCAATTTCTGAGCTGCCAAAATTCCTGTGGTGAACCATCAGGCAAGATGCTTGAAATTTTTTTAATACATAATGTAAAAATTTAACTTTTAATATTTTAATAAAATAATGATTTGACTTTTATTTTTTTGAGTATTTTAATTTATAACATTTTTTAAAGTATTTTGATTGTTAGTGTTTTTAGGGAAAAATTTTTAGTTACATGAAAATCTTTAGTTAATTAATTATCAATATTTGTTGTTAAGAAGAGAAATTCTGTGTGAGTGACGATGTGACATATAACACATGTATAAAATGATGACATACATATATCACGTGTTTAAAGTGATGTCATAACACGTATAACGTATATAAAATAATTATGTGATAAATGCCATGTGCTCAAATTCATAAAGTGAAACATAACATGACATATGTTACAATAAAATACACCACATCATCACTTTGGATAATAAGACTTGTCATGTAGATATAGGTGTTAATTGTTAGTTAATTAACAATTTCATCTAATTATGGATCATTTATTTCAAAATGAAATATTAAAGGATATAAAAAAATTAAAATGATTATTTAATAAATATTAAAAAATAAAATTTGATATTATTTTAATTATAAAGCACGGTTTGGGCATACTTTAGAGTTTTTGGATTGCATGGTGGTCATTCTATATTGTTGGATTTCATGTTACAAAATCTCAAGCTTTCTGCTGGAAGCAAAATCAGACAAGCAAAAAAGCTTCCGTTTCACTTTTCTTTCTCTTGAAAACTTTTTGGCGTTCGATTCGATTCGATTTGTTGTTCTATAGGGAACCTTCCATGTGAGTTTCTCTATTTGTTTTAGGCTTTTGATAAAGCATGTTAATGAGCCCAAATATCATAGGTGGGATAATTATTTAAGCCAATACAACACAAAATAAATTATTTAGGGAATTGAGATATTTACTATAATGATTTGGAATTCATTACGTCAACATGACAAATTTTTATAAAATATATTATTTTATTCACACTTTTCACCTCAATGTAATAAATTTTAAGAAAAATTAAAACTCGTCATGTTTACGTGAGGAGTTTAAATAAAAAATATTATTTTGACAGTTTTGCTAGAATAAATCTATAAAGTGAGCAAATTTACATATGGCCGCACCAATATGCATAATGCTCATCTTTGCGATGCTTACTAACAAGACCGCCACACTGTAAACAGATAAAGCTGCTTCCATCGGCGAATGCATCCAATACAATTTGCATTCTGCCTGTTTCGGCAAGAATGGAAGTTCCCTGAGCATCTGATGCGACTGATGGAACGATGGTGGTGCATGGTAATGATTCGGCTTTTATCGGCTGGGCTTCAGCTATGACACACTCAGCAAACAGAGAAGCCAGCTGATCGACTGTGGTGTTTTCTTGCATTCTAGTTCTGTACACTTCACGAGCACGGTACAATGACTGAAATACTGCTTCATCACCACCTCTAGTTCTCATGGCCATCACCACCTGTTCCATCACAGATAACCAGAGATTAAACAGAACAAGAAGGTCCAGCATGCATGTCTAAATTATAACTCAAAATAAGGAACGGGAAAAGCTGCTGATACCAGACAACAAGAATTGGTTCACACCATAAGATGCATGATGAACAATTTTGTGCAGGTCAAATCTTGAAAAGGCATATAATATATCCCTAAAAGATAACTGTTCTTCAATCATATGTGGCTCAAGAATAGGATTAAATGCTGAAAACTCATTAGTCTAGAAGATCCAACTTAAACTAATAACATGTATTCAGTTGTATTAATGCTGACAGCCTAACAAGGAAAAGGCTACTTCGGTCCTCCATTTATCCGAAAACACCTGATGAACAAAGAGGCCATATTTTAGTTTGATCCAAGATGGCCAGATCGAATGCCAGGTATTTACCACCAATACTTGTACCATCAATGCAGTCTTCAGAAGCCTACAGTGAGAAGTGGCGAAACAATATTTAATTAACGATAGGAACTCAAGGCTGATGGAATACTATAGGCTGCTAAAGGTAATACATTTGAATGGACAATCGGGAAATATAAAAAACCGAGAGAACCAAATTCATTAGCATCCAAAATTACTGCAGTAATGAAAAGTTTAAAGAATCACCGCCATTAAACTATTCACATAGACAGAAGCAACAATACAGTGAAGACCACAATTAACAAGAGAACCCCATTGTTCTAGAGTAAGTAAAAGCTTATGTGTTTCCATCTTCTCTCATAAGAAGGGGAAGGACAAGAAAAATGTCAAGCAAGTATCTTTGATTTCTTACCTTCGTTTTTTATTCCTTAGGCTGCCTAATGATTATGGTTCTCAAATAAATGCCAAGATATAAAAGCATTTGCTTTCAGCTTTAGAATTTAACTTCTCTAAAAACGAAATCTTTTTGAAACACGCCTCCTCTGGCATCATTCCTAACTCACAGCAATCCCCTTTGTTCTTTAGATATATATATATATATATATTCATAGTTCCCCAAATGTGTTTTTTATTCTTATCTATCAAAGTGCTAATGATTTATCTTAAATTATGACCGATAGGAAAAAGGTCGCCTGGGGAATTTTAATATCCACAGCAATTAAGGCAGCATATTTGGCGATAACAACGTTCCGAGAAGCTAAGGGAACATCTTCTAGTTTTACATACACTAATGAAACTCATTAAACGTTGATTACCCAAACAATAAACAAAACCCATTGACATTCGAGGAGGAAGAAAATATTTTGTAGGGGGGGCGAAATTGAAAAAGTTTTATAAAGATTACCGCTTGAAGAGCCTGAGAAGGATTGCCTTGATCGACAAGGTTACGAGCCAACACGAGCAGGTCCTTACCGACATCGTTCTGTCCTTGCTGGTGGGATGGCGCTACGGCGGAAGCCTCCTCCATGTTCATTATGTTGTTGTCCATGGCATCTGGTCCTTTCCTTTTCCGTCCCGTCGATAAATGAATCTCTGTCTCCTACAATGTCAGCTGTATGGTTTGGCTTTTTTTTTTTCTCTTACGACAAAAGGGAAATAAAAAAAACAACAAATTTGTTGATTGAATGATAGAGGATTCTAGCAAATTCTGGCGTTCTACATTTTGTTTTGTTTAATCAACGTGGTGGACTATGCTTTTCAGCATTTGGGCTTCTTCTATTGGTCTTCAATAAATTCTGGGCTTAACCTTAGATGCATGTAGGTAGGGAAGGCAATGGGTCGGGTATTTGTCAATCAGACCCGACTTAAACCTGACTCGGCTAAAAAATTTTATAACCTCCGTCCAATTCGACCCGGATTTTTAGAGTATAAATTTGACTCAACTCGATCCGACCTGATAAAAAAGTAAGGATTTAATTAAAAAACAATTTTTAAAGAGAATTACATTATTGTCTTTAGGTCGGGTCAATTTTTTTCACCCTCCACCCAAATCTGACCCGTCCTCTCCCCTTAAAAAATTCGACTCAAACCCAATTTTTGTTTAAAAAAATCGACCCTACCAAGTTGGGTTGGAATAGAACCCATCAAATCCGGATTAAATTGCCATCCTCTTACTAGCAAAGCTCATGTTAAAACTCCAATGATGGACTGGGCTCTTGTATGGCATCGTAGCCTGAAGGTATTGGTTATGGTTTAAATAAATAGAGTGTTCAATGAATTGTCTATGAAGCGATTTTATAATGTTTGTTTGTTAAGTTAAATAAATGAGTATAAAGAAAAATTTTATATTTATTTAATAAACGAACAAACTCTAATGAACATGTGTTCAGTTCATTTAGGTTCACGAACAAACTGTTTGAAAGCTCGTTATTTGGGGAAGGTGGAAGGTATAAAAAGAATTGACACAGAGTGTACTTCAGAGCTTAAGGACTAGTGGCATAATTTTACAATTTTTTTTAACATAAAAATAAATATGTTTGCAAACGTTAAACGAACCGAACATTAACACATTAAAAAATAAACAAACAATCATAAACAAGAGATAGCTTCTTAACGGAAATCCAAGCACATATTTCTTGGATTCAAAGTAAAGATTTGTGATTGAGATACACCCCTTCACTTTTTCTTTTCTTTTTTTCTCATTCCGGCAAGATGGCTCCATTGACCAAATTCAATCAGCTAAGCTTTAACAGCAAGAAACCCTCCATAATAGTTTGGGTAAACTACACGGGAGACCACTAAACTATGGTCAAAAATCAATTTGACTACCGAAGTTTCAATTGAATCAATCAGACCACCTAACTATTTAAATGTTTCAATCAAGTCACCGGCTGTTAATTTTTAACGGAGATATGCCCCGTGACGAGTTTCAAGGCACTGTAGTGAATGTCGTAGATTACTTACTAATTTTTTAGTCACCCTAGAAACCTGAATAATTATTGAGCCAACATTATTGGGCTGATTTTGCCTAATAATTTAGCATCTTTATTATTATTTATTAGAAAATTAGCACTTATTAATTAGGTTTTTAATAGATTATTTTTTGAAGGTAACTACTAAAAAATTATTAAAAAATTAACTAATTACTCGTTAACTTATCAATCGAGTTAAATCATACTTAATTAAACTCGTTAAGATTTTTAGTCGAATTCAAATAATTCAGGAGCTACTCAATTCCTTAAACATCCAAACTCTGTCAAAGACGGCGAAGATAAAATATTTGCTCATATATGATCTCGTCCAACGCGAAAACACCACTCTTTTATAACCGGAAAAGTTCAGATCAAACAACTTATAAACATGGAAAAGTTGGACAAAAATAATGGTATGAATTTCAATAAAAACTGTACCTGGTGGATGAATAGTTGAGGCCCGAGGGTGAGGTGGGTATGTTTGTGGTGGATAACCTGCCGGAGGGGCTCGTGGAGGATAACTACCGTTCGGAGTTGTCGGATACATTGCCGTGGCAGTGGGATATGATGACTTGTACTGCAGTGGAGCCGCATAGGTCGTTGTCGGGTATGGAGCTATGGTCACATGCATATAATATAAAATAAGAAAATGGGCACATGCATATAATCTTATGTTTTATTTTTGTGTGTTGTTTGATTGAAGAAGGGGATTGAGATTTATTGTTTGGATCGGTTATGTGGTTAATTTGGAAAGACCGGAATAGGAGGATTTTTGACCCGGAGTACATTGAGAATGATTATGTGCTAGTGCGCGGTAGGCGACTAAGCCGTGAAGCTAGTAGTGCATTAGATTCAGCCTTATCATTAGCTCAATCTTCTCGTCGTTTGTTGAATACGTTTGATCCTTGGATTCCGCCTCCTCTCAATTGGTGTAAGGTTAATACTGATTCTCACGAAAAATAGGTGACGACTTTGCTACATGTGGGGTGTCATTAGATCCTCGAATGGTGGTTGGATGATTGGTTTCTCGAAGAGTTACGTGACTTTCCTAAATATATTGTACTAAATTTCATATCCAACTAATATTCTGAATAATAAACTATAAATGTTTATCAATAAACTTCCATTTATATAAAAAATTTCAAAAGATATTTTAAGTTTTACAACCTTATAAGAGAAATAGCATTTTTAAAGATATTATAACCCACCAAGATTTTTAAATGAAATATTTTTTTAACCATTTGGACCAATCAATTTATTTTATTTAGTTAAGGTGATTACAAAATAATATTTATTTTAAATATTTTAAATGATTTGATCATTAACTTTGAATCAACATGCTATAGTCGTTAGTGTTCAAACCCGAGATTTCTAAAAAGAAGAACGATTCCTTTAACCATTAGGGGCGTTTGGTTCACGGAATGTAAGATTACCTTTGGAAATAACATTACTGGAATTTAACATTACTATGTAAATATTGTATTACATTGTTTAGTTTGTTTAGCATGAATGTAAGATTTCAGTGTTTGATTGGAGGAATATAAGATTACTTGGATGCATATTTTACCAAATTATCCTTGTGATATATTTTTTAAAGTTAAACTTTAATATTAATTTATAAATATTTTAATCGTTATACTATCTAACTTTTGAGGAGAAATTATATTTAATATATAATTAATATAATTAGTATATTAAATTTATATTTTTAAATAATGTTCATAAGTATCATATTTATTTATATAAAATATAATATAATATAAAAATAATATTATGGTTGTAAAATATTATTTTAAATAATTACATTTTTTACAATAATACTATTTTTTCATCCCATAAAATTATAAATAGTAAAATTTTGAATATTAAAAATATAAAATATTTTAAATTCTCAAAATTATTAATATTTTAGTAAATCAAACTCTTTGTATATTTTTATAAAAATAAGAATTTAAAAGGGTTGTTATAAAAATAAGAATTTTACCGAGCTTAATAATATATCCGGTAAAATTCTACCTAAATATTTTTTCTATCAAATATATTATCAAATCCAATAAAATGTTTAATAATAATAAAATTAATAAAAATAATAATATTTTTGATAAATTTTTATTAATTTTATTAAAAAATAATAATAATAATAATAAATTCGATAACACCTTTACTTAATCGTATTCGCACGTGAGACTTCCCAGGGGTTGAGGAGTGGAAACCAGAGAGAAGAGAGAAGAGAAAAGCAGAAAGAATAGCAAAACGAGACCCTTTGATTTGGTTTTGGGTGGTTGTCAGAAGTGGCAAAGGCATGTTTTATGGTGGTCGTGCAGCGTGTTTATTGCCAATAATATTGGTACTATGTTTATCGAGGAACGATTGTATCTTGCCGGTGGCTGAAGCTATATGGTTAACGATTCCAAGTTCAGGAACCAAGTGTGTTTCTGAGGAGATCCAAAGCAACGTTGTTGTTTTAGCTGATTACTATGTCATCGATGAACACAACCCCGATCATATATCCACCATCTCTGCTCGGGTAATTTATTTTACCCTTTTCATTGCCAGCAAACAATTAATCAAATTCTCCATCTGGGTTTATCAGATTTCTGCCTTTTTTCTTTTGGTGATCTTTTATTTGATATTTTTGTTGTTGAAGGCTTTGCTGGTTTGGATGAACAGTGATTATTGTTGCTAGGCTTTGCTGATTTTTATCCCTTTGTAAGTGTCAAGGACGTTTAAAACATGTATTTACAGGGCTAGTCATATCCAAGAGTAAACCTCTGCTTAATCTTCCTATTTAATATGAATGGGAAATTACTTTTGTTTGGTAAGAATTTGAATCTAGTCCCTGATACTTAAGCATCCAGCAACCAATTTCCTTCTGTCTTTTTGAAGTTCCATATGAATATCAGCAGATTAAGTTCTTTTCTTCAGTTTCAATGATGATTTTTTTAATCCTATATGCAATAAGGTGAGCCATTAATATGGGGATAACTTATGTTCCTTGAACTTCTAGGCCTCCCCTCAAGGGAAGTGCTAGGTTTTTCTTATTGTTTCTAGATAGGAGTGATTATTCGATCGACTCGAGTTTTGCTCACCCCTATTTCTTGATCTTCCAAAGAAATATCCTTTCTATTTGATGGAAAGTCTTGAGGGTGGAAAATTGGATTTATTTGTACCCTATGGTTGAGGAACCCATTATAGTTTGAGGAATTGCGAACTACAACTGATCGATATCACGTTGAGGATACCTTATTTGTGTTATACAACTATCTGTAGCTCAGCATAGACCAAACTAGAGGTCAACTACATAGAATTTTCTTCCTACTATCCTTCTGGTATGTTTGAAATTGTTGAGTTTGAAATGAAGTTCAAGGGATGAGATATCTTTCAAAAGTTCGAACATGAGTACTTAAAAAGAACAATGAAGAGTCTGAGTTGTGTATCTTGAGATCATTAATTTTGTATATTTGGGATTTTATGTGGAAAACTTAGATTTAACACAGTGACACATGTACTGAATATGAGGTTTATGCTCAAACTTACAAGACCTTATCTTATTCTTTAGGTAACATCTCCTTTTGGGAACAATCTTCACCACAATGAAAATGCAACTCACGGTCAGTTTGCATTTACGACCAGTGAGTCGGGCAATTATATAGCTTGTTTCTGGAAGGATGGCAGTCACAAACAATATTCCGAACTAACTTTAGGCGTT